ATGGGAAACCAAAAAGGCGCAATGAGTTGCTCACTTGGAGTATAAGCATCAGCTATACGTATCTCTCCTGCAGGTTAGCATCAGCATCAGCTATACATATCTCTCCTGCAGGTTAGCATCAGCATCAGCCATACCTATCTAACAAATTTAAGGAAGTTCTTAAGCGAAATAAGTACTGTAAAGAAATTAACACATACAATCAAAATATGATAACTACAATTTCTAGGAAATGATGAGGAAAGAGAGCCTAGAAAATTTAAAACTCACGGGTCAAACTAAATATAAGAGATGGAATGAGAAGCGAGAAAGTTACTTAACAAAATTGAATGAACGGATGGTAGAACAAGGAAAAAGAGAGATACTAAACGGTCAAAAGTTACTTAGAACAACAAAGGTTACTTAGAGCAATAAGTTGTGGGGAGTCATAAGCGTTTCTGTCCTGAAAAGGAAATTGGATGTCGCTTCCATAAATTTTTCAGATTTTATTTCATTTACGAATATCAATTTCAAATATATAAACGTTCACCCAATAAAGCTAGTATTAACAAAACTCCGTTGGTAAAATTTACACAATATATGTATATTTATTTTAGCAATATATGACATGAGTGATATCATATATATAAAGAGGAATGACAATAGCTTTCTTGTTGGGTGTCTTGTTTAATTATGCAAACTTAGAACAATATAAACTGCTATTTATGAATAATTCATAAGCACATTTTGCTTCCATAATATTCCATACACCTGAACAAATTAAGATTTTATTATTTCTGTAATAGAGGAAGAAAATGAGTAAATGCCGACACCGAAGTTCGAGCGTGACACTCTGAAGTTATGAATATATTTTTTCCGCTAGGTGTATAAATGGCGGTGTCAGGCTACTGACTGCAGTGATTACTGAGTGACTATTGAGTGGAACTATCCAGTCGAATTAGTGTGAATTGTTTTGCGTCGGTGATTTGGGTTTTGATTTAGGGTTTACCGGACGTTAAGCGGAGCCGCGCAACTAACAAGGTAACCTAGGAAATAAACATTTGGTACTCGATTGGTCAGTTCTTCCCCACCAGCCATATTTACCAACCGTTTATTACCTTTAATGATTGCTGCAAAACAGTTTGATAGGTGTAAGTTTTTTTTAATGAAAAACCAGAATTCTTTGAATATATAAACCATATATTTTAATAATTTCACACTAAGCAAGAATTTAATGCCACTAAGACGTAAGGGGCTACTGGGAGTGAAAGTAAATGACAAGATTTTAGAAAAAGGAACCGGAAACCCAATGCTAAACAGGAAACAAAGGATAAACCTCTACTCCTGTTCAAAAGACCGAGAAGAAGTATAAACTGGGCGATAAGCGAACCTATCTACATATAGTAAATTTAGAGTCCAATTCTCTAAAATTCAATAAAACGCATTACGGAGGATATTTTCTTAGATTTTTAAGAATACCTAGTAAAGGCGTTCGCATTATATTCCTTAATTATGTTTTTAAAGTCAAAGTCCCCACGTAGGACAACATTAGATAAATAACCATCTGGCCTCAAGCTATCACGGTCGTGTTCAAAAGCTGCCAACATAAATAAACAAGCTTCCCTCGTGTTGAAAATTACATTTCTGTGATATTTTAAACTAAAAACAAATAATAATCGTTTCAAATCAGATTAATTATAGTTTAAATCAGCTAATATTCCACAAATAATGTTTTAGGAAAATATATTTTATTTTTGGAAGATTTTTTAGTAAAGAGATTTACATTTTTATAACCCTATCCTAAAAATGGCGCTAAATTAAAAAAAAAATTAGAAATTTCAAAATATTGCTGCAGATGAATTTAAATTAGTCTCGAAATACAATTATTTTGTTTATTGGAAATATTAAATTTAATCTCTCAGCTTGAAATTAAATCTAAAATAAAAGTTTTAGATTTAAAAGTTTTGACGTATAAGAAAACTCTCAATTTTTAAAAAAAAATCGTTACATATAATCTGTCTGCTCACAATTGACAAAGGTTGATATCCTTGTTTAACAATTGTGAATTGTAAGGAAGAAACACTCCTGTACAGGCGCATATAGCTGATGTCGGTGTTAAACTTTTTCTCATGAGTGATCACACAAACACATAAACACACATGCACGGACACACACACACACGGACACACACATACACACAAACACACACATACATATACATATACGCATATATATATATATATATATATATACATAATATATATATATATATATATATATATATATATATATATATATATATATATATATATATATTGGGTGGCGTCATAAGTGAATTCCATTTAGACGAACCAAACAATGCAGAAAAAAAAATTGATATACAAAACGAAAATTATTTATAGTCCAACCGATTACATACACATATATATATAGTATATATATCTATATCCAAGTTTCTCTCATTCTCCCCCTCTCTCTCAATCTGTGTGTATGTGTATATACACACATAATATAGAGAAAAACATTACATACCAATTATATATATCTATATCCATGTTTCTCTCATTCTCCCCTCTCTCTCAATCTGTGTGTGTGTGTGTGTGTGTGTGTGTGTGTGTGTGTGTGTGTGTGTGTGTGTGTGTGTGTGTGTGTATGTGTAAACATAATATATGGAGAAACATTACATACCAATTATTTGGAAATTTTGACTCAGAAGCTCAGTCAGAAGGACTAAAATTGTCCATGAATGCATGGCTCAAAGGGGGTAATGGCGGAAAATTGTAGTATCAACCGAATAGTTTCGTAATCAAAATGACGATACTCGCCTCTTTGAAAATTTGGACAAATGTATACATTTTTCTATTTACGTCTTTGAAAATGAAGCTATCATGCCATCCATTTCCATTTAGATTTATTTCGTAATAGTAAAATAATTTTCACCGAACAGAAACACGCAATCCATTCAATGCAAAATATGTACTATTTAATGAGCCCTACGAAATTTACTTGAATAAAAATAATAATTTTCTAAATAATGTAATAATAAACATGTATTATGGTCGTGCACCAAATATATAAATAATCGATTGGATAATGTCCAGATAATTTCGGTTATTGGGGTAGAATTAAAAAGAATCACTGTTCCATGTTTGATAGCCATCAATTTATTCACGCCTGGGATGAACGTATGAGGGCTTAAACTAAGAACCATCACTCGATCCATCCACTCCTCGACCGCAGTCGGGCTCAGGTTCATTGCGAACTTAATGATCCTTTTGTTATATAGGAAGCAGGTTTCTTTAATTCAAATTTTATGGATCTAACCAGGACAACGTGTCTTTATTTCAAATCGTTTAAGCTCCTCTGACTGCACGGAAAGGGAGGAAAGAAGAAGTGGTCCACAAATGCTTGCTGGTGGCTTTATACATGTATTTTCTGGCCAGAAACTTATCATCATCGATCATGACACTCCATGATTTTCTATTGGACATTACGAAATCTACTTTCCCTCCTACTCACTGTTCTGCTATGCAACTCCCACAAGCTTGTTAGACTACTCTGTGTTTCCTTCAATGTCTATATGATTTAATATCATAGATTCTTACTGAAGGAAATACTTATTGAATTATTTAGTATGTTCAGGTCAGATTGACAGACATATAACACAGTTTTGTCTTTCATTCTAACCTGATGACGCCTATCTAACGAAGACAAAACGAGTTGAAATAAAGAGGTTTTCCAATGACACATTTCTCCCATTTTGTTCGAATTCTAACAAACATTATTTAGTATATATATATATATATATATATATATATATAGTTAAGTTATGAATAATTTAAAGTATTGTAAATCAAGGAGGATGAAATCCCTGAGAGCTCAATGTGAAGAACAGAGCTAATATTTAATGAAAAACAGACACTTTTAAGTACCATTACAATAATTTATTTCACCAAAATTTAAATAAAACTTGCAGGAAGAAAATATTTTATTGTTATAAACAAATCCATGACCATTCGATTATTGGGCTGCCGTATTTGCCTTGGCGCCACGATGTTTCGTATACAGAAAAAAGAAATGAAACATGATAAAATGTTTCCTTCGGTATTCTTGGCTATCTACAAATGCTGTTTTTTGTTTGTTTTTTTTTATCCGTAATTTGTTAAAATGATAAAGCAATTTCCAGTTGTCTTCAGAATGCAGAACGTTCCATCATTTCTTGTCACTCAAAGCTAGAGCTCCCGGTATTTGAATCCTTTTGTGACGGGGATGAACTCGTTTCTTCTATTTAGTATATATATATATATATATATATTAGTATATATATATAGGAGTATTATTTATATATATATATATATATATATATATATATATATATATATATATATATATATATATATAAAAGTTATGAATAATTGGTAAACCCAATTGGTAAATCAAGGATGAAATCCTGAGAGCTCAATGTGAAGAACAGAGCTAATATTTAATGAAAAACAGACACTTTAAGGTACCATTACAATAATTTATTTCACCAAAATCCTTTTTAAAGGATTTCGGATCATCAGGTAACACTTCCAACAATGTTATATATATATATAATATATTTTTTGTGTCCTTGTTCACAGCAGGTGGTTGTACTTTAAATAAAGTATATTTAGGCAACAAAAAATCATCCAAGCAAAGTTTTATTAAATTCAAATTACACGCTATGTCTGTCAAAGTTTTTTACTGAATTCTTACATTCTTGAGGCGTCTTCAGAAAATCACATTAGTCTAACATTATAGACTGAGCGTTTCAACTAATTACCCAGTTAGCTGTTTTGAAAATACTGATTAACTATTCGTGGACGAATGGACACGTAGCCAAACGATTAGGGCGTTCGCGTCCCGACCCTTAAGACCAGGGTAAAAATTTAAAGTAATATCCTGTCGAAAAGCTGCTAATATCATCCCGTGCTAATATCGTCACCGTTGGGAAGAACTTGAAAATAATACCACGGGTTCACCCAAGCTTACTGAAAGGCTTACGGCCACATCACGTTGAAACACCGTTCCCATACGATCACAGAAGTTAAGCAACGTCGAGTCTAGTTAGTATTTAGATGAGTGACCACTTGGTAATATCAGGTTACAGTAAGCTTGGATGTGCGGACGGTGTAATGGATAAGGGCTCGGAATTGTTAATAAAAAAGCCGAGTTCCAATTGCAGTCGGATTCGTTTAATTCCCTAACGGTCAACTACCTTTGGGAAAAGTATGAATCCATTTCTTCTCCCTCCAGCTATGGGTTAATTAGTAAGACATGTATCACTAAATTATTATTATCTCAAAAAAAAAAAAAAGAAGAAGAAAACTTACAATTTACAAATATTTTCTGTTTTTAAATAACCTGCAAAAGTTTGCTATGTCGTAAGAAAGAAATCAATTAATAATCATGCTTTGTGGGAGAAAATTGTTCAGATACCACCGAGGCTCGATAGCCGAAAGTTTGAATGTATCGGCCTTTTTCAACTATTGAGCTCACCAAATTGTGCCTCCTTTCACATGGAGAGTTGAGCATAAACCGGGTTGGCTATGTAGGCGTTGAACAAATGTGCCTTAGCAGGCTCCTGAAGAGCGAATAGCGATCCGAATAGACATATATACGAATAGTCAGCCATTTTCCTATATGGCAGAAATCAAATAAATTTAAAAAAAAAATTGTTTTAAATTTTTTGAATTTTGTTTAGATTTTGTTTACGAGTAATGTCCTTTTTAATGTCTTTTTTGTCAGATGCTGTCTTGTAGATTCAAAATCTTGGTCTGTTAGTAACATCCAGGTTCTGTGAAAGATATTTACAAGTGACACAAAGGTGAGTACAACCGGTGAATATTAACTAAGAAAACATATATCCTCTAAGTGCATAAAGTGTAATGAAAACATTCTATTCCAGGGTATTTTGAATCAAGGGTTCAGTTCGAACTTCCAAACAGTGTACTGGGTACGAGCCAAACACCTGAGGAAAGCCAGCGTGTGTCTTATATCTGGGCCATTTTCGTCGCTCTTGCTTATTGGCGATAACTAATTGATATATTCAGGTTTAAACATCAGTTTTATTAAATAATGGTTAATTTTCAATGTGGGATTTGATCTGTGCAAATAAACGATTGTTTTGTGGATATTTTTAATAAATTATATAATTATGCAAACAAAAATAAATGTTAAATCCTGAAGATTGCAGATGTTCTTTACCTTGAGAGCACAACTTAAGTATCAAGGGACGGAAACAATATGTAAAGTAGGGTATGTTAACATATTTTAATAGTGGTTTCGAAAATCGATATTAAATTTGGAATTCTGAAATTTAAAGTTCTGTTCATAAACAAAAATAAAATTAATTCATTTTGATTTAATAACCGATTTAATTGATTATCGTTATTTACTTTATTTACAGGGACAAAAAGAAAATATTTTATTGTTATAAACAAATCCATGACCATTCGATTATTGGGCTGCCGTATTTGCCTTGGCGCCACGATGTTTCGTATACAGAAAAAAAGAAATGAAACATGATAATACCATGTTCCTTCGGTATTTCTTGGCTATTTACAAATGCTGGTTTTTTTGGGGTTTATTTTTTTTTTTTTTTTATCCGTTTGTTAAAAATGATAAAGCGATTTCCAGTTGTCTTATCCACGGCTTCAGAATGCAGAACGTTCCATCATTTCCTTGTCACTCAAAGCTAGAGCTTACGGTATTTGAATCCTGTGTTGTGACGGGGGATGAACTCGTTTCTTGCCCAGGAGTACTTGTGTAAAAGTGAACACAATGACATCACGCCCAACTGATTCCATGTCTTTCTGATGATTCAGAAAGGTTTGTTTTAATATCAGTTTCCTTCTCCTAGATAGATAACGACTAATGAACTCTATCGAAACATTTGGTTTCATATTAGAGTTTGCCTTCTCCAAGATGAAGTGATTTACCACGGCTGAGAGGGTTCATCTAACCCTCATTTGAAAGCGCACATAACAGGTTAAATCTTAAATATGTGACTATATTGAGAGGCATACAATTGGAGTATTATAAAATTTTAACTTTGTATAATTTACACACAGCCCTAACTGTGCACAGAAAAAAAAAGGCAACCGAAGAAACAAAACAATGGGACGTTTTAAACAGTTTCTTTCTAAATTCAATAAATATTCTTACCGCGACTGTTCACGAATTGAGAGTGATATTAAAACAAATATAACACGATTATATTCGTTAACAGATAAAGTCGTTCAGTTGAGTTCAGAGAATACCGAATTAAAAAAAGCAAAGAAAGGAAGGTTAAAACAAATTTTACCATTACTACGCTATACGCTGATCCCGTAAAAGAAATAAGCGACGTGGTAAATTGTTGAAATCTGACGTGCCGTTTTAATTACGCTAATGCCAGAACAGGGTGTTCATGGGATAGGAAAAAGACAAATATTGCTAAGAACTTCAAGGAAACGATGTTTCGGAAAGCCATGATCGATGACATCCTGACGGGAAACGGCAAAATTAAGAAGAAAAGAGAAAGAAGCAGCAGCAGCAGCAGCAGCAGCGGTAAACATAATACAAAATAAAGTAATTCTCCCAAAGGAAGAAATGTATACGGCGCGCTTGTGGAAAAAATGAAAATCAGATTTCTTGTATAGTAAATAATCGTATCCACTTACATAAACTTTAGATTCCAGTTGAATGAATCAAGAATGGGACTATGAGGCGAGTGAATATAAGCGACAGAAAAACAATTTAAAAATACATTGGCTTTCTTAGAAAAAGAAAGAAGATATAACGAATTGAGGACGTCGCGATTATCAGAGCGGAAAATAGGATCGGCCTTTTTTTTTTTTTTTTCATCATTTCAGCACAATCAAGGCAATTATGCGATTCAGACGAAGCGGCTACTGAGTGTGAGAGAATATAAGAAAAATAAAATATTATTAAGGAGAGAGAACAATAAAAGAACAGAATCAAGAAGTTAGAAAATAAAGATTGACATTACATCTAAATATCTGAAGATCGAAGTTGACAGGAAAGTAGGAAAACTGGACACTATCTGATAATTGAAGACAACATAATTCGCTTAGAAGAATACGCATTGGAAGTGCACTGATGTCTCTCCTTCTCTTAGACACACACACACAGACACAGACACACGCACACGCGCGCGCACACAAATATATATATATATAATATTTGTAATAGGTAGGGATAGTTCCAATGAGAACATTGATGCAAAGACAGCTCAATCTAAGTTACAGAGCAATATAATGATAAATCAAGAAAAAGCTTAAAAATTCATATGAATATTTAAGGTCTTTCTCGATTTAAAATAATATATATATATATATATATATATATATATATAAAGGCGGTGTGTGTGTGTGTGTGTGTGTGTGTAACGAATGCACGGCCTCAATTTTCGACGGATTTGCACCAAAATTTACATGCACATGCAAGTTAGCGGGAAGGCAAAGACCGACTTTGCATTTCCCAACTCCCATCGATAGTGGGAATAATCGACTTTTTCATGCTTCTACGGCAGTTTTCATGTAGTTTGCGGTCATTTTCCACTGGCCAGAGTGAGAGCCTATAGCTGGCTGCTGCACGAATAGGCAGGAAGATTCTAGTGGCCAGCGTGGGAGCCAACAGCTGACTGACACGAATGTTAACTAGCATGGTGGCATGCAAAAAAAATCGATAGCTGCATTCGTCACAAGAGGGAAAAATTTAAATCTGCATGGCACTTTACTCCAATTGGCTCATTCGCTTGCTTAAACTCAACGTTGATTCTGATTCCGCAGAACTGGGTTGGGTGTGAAAAAGTATTTGTTTTTAACATTCGGTTTTTCCAGTTACGAGTCCTTTTTTAAAGTTGATCGTTTTGTGTTCATTTTGTTTAGTTCTTTTTTCGTAACAGATTTAATGTTTAGTATAGAGCTTAGAAAAAAATTCGCAGTGTGAGATAGGCAAGAAGATAGCAACATCAGTACGGCAAAGGGCACTCAACCAAGCGGCAATAATCTGTTTCATGTTTGAATGCAATCTTTCCGCTATGTGTGTTGCGTCTTAGCTCTATTATTTATATATGATATGATTTATATATGATAGTCAATGGTGCGTTATATGTAATAAGGTCGTAATCTCATGAATTATCCTAACGATTATTGGGTGGGCTGTAGCGGTTATGTTTCAAATAAATTATTCTAGAGATTATTGAGTACAAATAATCGTGGGTTCGGATGTGGTTATTTATAGCAATTTTATAGCGTTGTTTATTAATTTTTTTACTTATTATTTATTATTGATTGCTTAATTAGTTTTTGTTGATTATTATTTCGTTTACTTGTTTAGTATCTGTCTATATTTCTGAGATGAGGTATTATGCCCAATATCTATATTATTCGGACTATTGTCCTCATCTTTGTCGCCATATTTATTACAACGTTTCAACCGCTGTACGCTCCGGCCTTCTTCAGGTGGTTTCAATGTCAAACTGAACCCTTTATTTTGCTCACTGGGCCAGACTGTTCTAGTTCCACGTGCCGTGTCTAATGGATGTCAGTTATCCCCTGTTAATTTCGCTCTCCAAGTTCTCCATTGCCTTAACCCCGTATTGAACTCACACACTTTGTTTCCTGTCACTGGCTCTAACCAACGCCAAGGACACATGGCACAGTAGATAACGCCGTTGGTTAGATCCAGTGACAGGACACAAAGAGTGTGAGTTCAATACCCGGTTAAGGCAGTGGAGAACTTGGTGAGAGGAATTAACAGGAGATAACTGATAACTGACATCCATTATACATGGCACGTGGAACTAGGACAGTCTACCCAAGTGAACGAAATAAAGGGTTCTGTTCGACATTCCAACCACCTGAAGAAGGCCGGAGGGTACAACGGTTGAAACGTTGTAATAATTATGGCGACAAAGATGAAGACAATAATCCGAATAATGTCAATAGTTTACTTGTTTAAGTGGGCATTCGTATGTACTGATAATCATTTTATTATTTACTTAATTTGTTTATGTATTTATTTAGATTTTTTTCGTGGGTTGTATTCTCATTTGTTGAATTTAGACTATTGGCTTTTTCTAAAATCTTATATTATATGCGTT